TTTTTTTTATCGAATCTATATAAACGTAAAAATAAACATACCTACCAATATATAATTATAGGTATTATGTTATTAATATAATTCTAGTACTTACACACAAAATATCCATAACACCAAACCGTTTCCAATCACACCGAGACAAAATAAAATTGTATAAGTAAATGCCAAAATATAATGGTAGAGTGATCTAACTTCTGGGTATGCCAACCAATGTTCTGGTATATGAGTAAGATCTTCTGGAGTAAGATTCCAACCCATTAATTGAAGTTCATCTTCATTTTCCATGAAACTAGAACTAATCAAAAGTCAAAAAATCCCCAATATTATATGGGTAACTAGTATAAGCTCGTGTTTTTACGTATATTATACTATGCTACTTGATAATTTTGTACCATACCCCAGTTGTGATAAAGGTCTCGACACACTTCGGTTGAAATCCATTATTACCGTTTGTTAGTGTTAGTCTAAAACACTAGTCACTACTACGACTGAACAAACGAAATTATTAAGCCGATCTGGGTTTATATAAATAATATGCATCACATAGACAACATGGATTATATAATTGTAGCCTATCAACTGATAATCCTTGCTAACTTACAAGGGATGTTGTTATTATTTTGTTTTCAAATTATCCTCAATGACATACAACCTTATTCTGTTATTTACACAATGATTAAACTATAATACTTATTATAATTAGATTCAAAATGGGTTGGATTTTATATAGGTAATTAAAGTAGAAAACATGCTAACATGACTTGATTATTCTTCATTCATCAAATAATAAAAAATGCTCAATGTCCAAATTAGATTGACAAAATACATTTTCCCTAAATGGATACATATGAACGRACGATTCATGTCAGATAAATGTATTATCAAAAGTTAAAACAGCAGAAAATTACATATAATTTGAATTTTAAAAATTACATATTTTAAACTAACAGATAATATATATTCATTTTACATTGATTTCTTATATATTATTTTAATAGCAACAATTATCCCAATGTTTTAAGTTACTCTAGTCGATTCTCAATAATTTGAAACTTCTGGTAATTCAAAACAGTAAAGTAATTTCTCGTTCCCTTAAAATTCTCACAGTAAAATAAAAACAATGCATTTAATTCACTTGGTAATTTGATTTGTAAAATTTACTACACCGTCAACCCGTGACAATTTAAAGTGTATTCATCAAAATAATTATAATCTTATCGTTAATAATTTATCTTACGATTGTGTATAGCTTAATATTTCCGATAACTATCGAATTATTATTGTAGGTATGATTTTTTTTCCATAATTCAGTCAATTTGAATTGTATTTTTTTGCTCTCTTGATATTTCGAATCACTCAGCAATTTAATTTGTAGGCAATTCAAAATTTTTCATAAGTCCAAATTCAAAATTATCGAAAGTCGATTGATACGATTGTATACTTATTAATGAAAAAATGTAGTCAGTAATTAAAAACATTATTCGTTTATTAGAAATTTTACGAAGTGTAAGGATATATTACAGAAAACCATGAAACATTATGGAGAGATTCAAATGCAGTTTTATATGAGTAGGTATAGTTGTCGTCGTTGCCGACCACGTCGTTGTAATGAATATGTTAAATTGATATGAATCGTAAATCATTGCATATGAAAAAACAGTTCTGACTAAAGATGATCTATCAGTCTATATATTACTTAAGTATATTTTATCATTTTATGGATATTTTGCATYTAAAACAGTTTATTTTACTAATACAAAAATAAGTTTAATTATTTTTTGTTGAAAAAAATGGATTTATTTTCCATATATCATCGTACCTATGTTTAAAATATAATAATACAATTTTAAATTTTAAAGTACACACAATTAACATTATCAAATTAATTAATCACAACAAAAATCTAAAATTGTCTTCTTCGTTTAAATTCTATAAATAACTAATTTTGTTCAAATTTTGATGGAAAAATCTATAAGAAAAACTATCTTAACAATTTTTTTTAGATTTTTTGATTAAAATCTTAACTACCAATGCAAAAAAAATTGATTTAAATTTTTAATCCTTAAAATGTTTAAAACATTTTATATATTTTTAATTACAAAATAATTTGCAAATTTTCAGAATTTTTATGAATTTTGTTAACATTTTAAATCGTGCCTGCTTAATTTTATTATTTTTGTACTACTATTATATATAACAATGTATAAGGAACCTTGCATTAAATTTTCAAACTTTTTTACCAAATAAAAAATGTTGTGTTTCCACGGTTTCAGAATAAAAAAAAAAAAAAAAAATGAAAATGAAAATGTCAATAGACAGGTAAAAATGAGTTAAAATATTTGAAGATCGTAAAGTGTATATCAAATGTACAAACATTAGGTGACATTCCAAGAACCTACATTTATTTGTTATTGAATTACAACAAAAAATAAAATCGTTCGACGAGAAATCGTTTTGCATTTATTCATGAATATCTATTAATGTAAAAAATTTGAACTTCAACGCGCATGAAAAATCATGCACCTTTTCGGAAAACTTTTTCAATAAAGTTAGATAAATATAGGAATATTTAACTAAATAAGCAAATCTTAGTTACAAAAATAAAAATTTATATGAATTTGAAACTCAAAATAATTCATTTCATACGCTCATTTAAAAAAAAACTGCCATGAATTTATCATCAACTTTAAAAAAATTACAAATTGTAAAAACTAGTGAGATATGCTTATTGTATTAAATTTTTTTCCAAAATAATTAAAAAAACTTTTAAAAATCGAATAAATTTTATGCCTGTAAATAGTTCAAAGAGAGTAAAATATTTTGAAAATTTTATCATGTTTAGAAATGGTCGTATAAAATACATTTGTTGAAAATTTAAAATATCTACAGTGAGTCGTGCGAATAATTGAAATTTGAGTTGATGAGGCCTAGAAGGTATCCGATGTTCTAGGGCTTAATGGATTTTTAATCCTAGCTTAATTTTAATGCAAGTAGGTGATAATATGTTATCTGTGTTTTAATATAAATTGATTCATAGGGATGCTTGCATTTTTTAAAGTTATTCGATCATYTAAAAATTACATCACTATAAAACTATTGCCTTCTAGATCCACCCGYTYAAAATGATCTTTGTGAAATATTTTATATAAACTAAAAATATTTAAAAAAAATAAAAAACTWTCGAGTGTATAGTGAAAGTACTGAGGTTGCAAAAATAAACTCAATATGTATGCCACGTATTAACATGTAAGTTAAATAATTCTCTAACATTAATTCGATGTTAGATATTGTAAGTCTTCGTGATATAACAGATTTAAAAAAAGCAATGTAATCATGTCATGCTCCTTGTGGAAGGGAATGTGGTAGTTGCATATCTATATAAACAGTAGAAAATATTCATTATAAAACTCATCGTCTCAGTATTATATTTTAATATAAATTACGTATAGTTTAATATACTTCATTCAGATATCAAACTAAATATCTTTTAATTTTTTTAATTACATATTTTATTTGTATTATCCTTGGATTGGATAGAATGTTATAAAAGGTAAGTTATGTAATATATATATGTATGTCTACTTATATTCTAAATTACTATACCTATTCAATATCCAACAGATTGTTCTCATAATCTCATCACTAAGAAATGTAAGAGGTGTTAAGGTGTTATAAATCTCTACTCGAAATGYCTTCTCCATGAAAATGTATTTTTATTTTTTACAAAATTTACCTTTTCACTAGTATGATATTAGTATATGTATAATTTCTGAAAAATTGCTTTTAGTACAAGCCTAGCCCTCTGRCACAGCCTGAATTATTTGTTACATTAAATCCATTTACAAAGAATTTTGATCATTTTTGGAATACAAATAAAAAAAWAAATTAAAACTATATATGTCTTACTTTTACTACTATAGGAATTAATACCTAATATACAAAACTATGAATGAATAAACCATTAGTTATTCTTACGAAAATTCAAATATTTAAAATCAAACATTTTTTTTAAGAACCTTACCCACTACTCACTAGGATTGACTCCGATATGTGGCATTCCACGTCTTACTTGTATTCATAAATTGTAACATAACAAATTTAAATAAAAGAATTCAATTAATTCATTTATTTTTAATATAATTTTTAATTAGACCCTATTATCAAGTGAGAAAATATATCATTTGGGCTATAGGTATTATAATTTTGAAACAAGTTTGTATAAGAATTTTAAAAAGATTGTAATTTTCATAAAAATATAAATATCTACAAAATCCTACTACAGCATGCTATAGAGTAAATGTCAATAAGACGGTCTGTCAGCCTATATTTCAAAGTAGGTTATTCTATATTTTTATTATTATTTTATTATTCGATGACTTATTATAACTTATAAGTATAATACAGTAGGTTGAACTATTTTYGCAAAACACAAATCACGTAATAATATACAACAATAATAATTAGGTGGCTTGGTGAGGCGCGGTCGTACGCTCAATCTGCGGAAACGCATTGAGCGTATGTACCGGCCGCAGTTGCTAGCTCCCGGATGGGTGACCACCCGGGATTTTTAGCAACATATYCTTRCCACACATACACAAACACGTGTTACAACCATACCAACTCAAAAACCTACAGACAAATATACAAAAATAACCCCTACCGTACCACCCCACACCCAATGGCCTATGTTGCCACGGGTTCCCCTCAAAAAAAAAAAAAAATTATAATTAAGTCTTACAATATTACAGGTTATTTTAATAACTTAAAAAGGTCAATAACAACGTACAGTAAAATGGTGTTAGAATATGATTGTGCAATGGTATAATAATAGCTTAAAATTAAGATAAATATTTTAAACATTTTATTGTGTATAAATAGTAAATACTAATTACTTAGAGGTGAACAATTTCTAGTTCATATGAATATTTTTTTTTTTTGAATAAATAATAAAATAATTGGAATTGTTATTTTATGTTTAAATATCCATTTGATCTGTAACATAATACACTAACAATTTATTTTCAAACGATTTTTGTTGTTTTGTAATATTTCGTAAAATATTAATCGCGTGCAGAAACTTGAAAATTCTATAGTTACTTAAATAATAACTTTTTACTCACAATAAGTTTAAAATATTTATAGGCTTTTTAAATTTTTTTAGTATTTTTTGGAGTCAATTAAHCGCGAATCCAATAAGCGGCGACAACTGCATATGAAATTTATCGTAAACGTTGCAAACATTTTAAAACTATTGTACATGTATTACACATGATGTGTATGTAAATATATGGAAATGGATAGAAAAATGTGACCAAGCATTCAACGAACTTAAACAAATTAGAATTTTGAAATCCCTAATAGTTTATTATACGAGATATATGTATTGTACCTAAATTATTATAACAAGCTTCCAATTAAACTCGTAGTATATGTATCATCGTATTATGCACTATATAGTTGTTATAGATACATTCGCTTGCATACCCAGATCCAATAGAAAATCAAGTATATAGCAATATAGCCACCTATGTTTTAAGACTTAAGAGCGTTTTCTGAGTCAGTGTGTGAATTCTAACAAATTGAAAAAGAAACTTTTGCAATTATTTACGGTGTTACAAGACTTTAGAAATAGGGGCAGTTGTCCACGTCTTAGAAGCAGACATTAAGCAAATAATTCTGCCTAAAACTATGATTAATCCTATCTAATAAGTACAAAAATTAAATAAACAAAAAGAGAATAGTTGTTATTGACATAGCAACGAGATAATTTATAATGAATATAATAAAAAAAAATCAGGTACCTACTTAATAAAAATATTTCCCAAAATTTTCCTTCGTAAAATCCTTCTCTTGACAATTACGAACAACTTAAAAAATATTTGGACCAATCGGCGTARCCGTTATCATTTGAATTACTATGCATTTTTCATCACACCATTTTTATTTAATATAAACTATATCTTCTTCTATTATCTATATACATATATATATATATATAAATGGATTTCTGTCTGTCTCTCTGTTTGTCCTTTATGCATTCCTAAACGGCTGGACTGATTGCAACAAAATTTGGTACCTACAGAAATATACTAGACCTATAGGCAGAWGATAGGCTAAATTAAAAAGCGATAGGCCCGGCCCCGGGAGGGCTCAAACAGACATTTTGAGATTTACAATGGTTGCTATTAGTGATGGTTACTTATTATCTTCTATCTATCTTCTATTTTCTTCTTCTATATATAATATATAAATGGATTTCTGTCTGCTTGTTCTATATGCATTTCTAAATGGCTGAATTGATTGCTATGAAATTTGGTACAGAGATATATTAGACTTATGGGCAGAAGATAGGCTAATTTAAAAAGTAATTGGCCCAAAAATTATTCAATTGAATGTTTGAATCATCGGACTTTTCTTGATAAAACGAATAAAATTACATAATAATAAACTAAATTGAATATTGAGCTATACTTAGTATATTGTAACCATTATCTATCTATATAAAAATATATTGCTAGCATAATCACAGAAAATAAATTTAACACACAATTTGAGACATATAAGAAGTAGGATTTTTAACGGTCTACGAAGTGCACGAGTTCAGCTAGTAGATAATATGAATGAATAATGTCCATCAAATTAATTATGTGGCGCGGTGTCTGGCCAGTGTCACTAGTTCCCGGACGAACCTAACC